CAAATGGGGTCCATCCGACCCCACACACGTATCACTTGTATCATTTGCCTCAGTCCTCATACATTGCCTCTGTCCTCGCACGCACAAGGGTTAAAGGTTTGAATATATTCACATTTCCGCATTTGGTGGCTTAAAAATGAGGATGTAGCAATCCAGTTAATATCAAAGATATTAACAAGCTAATTAGAAGAAAAGCTACGAGTCAGGCTATGCGAGAGGGAGTAAGGGTGATAGGGTTCAGTGGACCTCCTCCCATTTACGGTTTAGGACTCACCTGTCTGTGGATTTTCTGTAGAACAAACCTCCTAACTATGCACAGAAAATGTGTCTAGTTGCTGATGCTTTCATTGAAAAAAATATGCAAAATATTTAGAGAGAAAATGCAGCTTAGAAAGCTGAAATACCTGGATACAATCCTACTTGACAAGTCGTTGGCTGGCGTTTGCAAAACAGACAATTTGAGCACCATTCATTTTCCTTGCCATTCCATGGTTATATCCCCAAGAGCAGGGAAATGGATGTTAGCAACTGCTATGGTGATAAGACCACTATGTGCCTTATGGCATCTTAAGATATATTTGGTGTTTGACTAGGTACTTGCAAGCATTTTTAAAGGAAGTCTGAAGTATTTCTGGATGGGTAGCTATGGTCCCTAATCTTTGTGAATACCAAGTAACAACTGTAAAAATAATGTCAGCATAGAGACAGCTGCAAAAAGAGATAGAGAGGGTTATGAAGTACATGTACGTTCATGAAAAAGAAGATGTTCTTTAAAGAGTTTCTTGAAGATAGACAAAATATGGAAGACATTTTACCAAAGCACAGGCAACCTCTTGTGAGCATAATGAAACATTATTCTCCCGTTCTTGCTCTACACCTCACTCCTTTGTAGTCAGAGTCATACTATGGTTTATTATGGGCACTGTTGAGTTTTCAGTCACTACAAAAAGCCTTCACTGGAACACATTATTGATAGAGCAATTTGGTAAGGACAAAGACAGAAAGAGAGGAATCAGAGTGCCCTTTCTTCTGTGGTGCAGCTCTCCATTTGATTGCTCTGCTTGTCTAAAAGCTTTCTGCTTCCTGATTATGCAACACCAAGATACGCAAGTCACCTCAATCAATGCCTCATGCTAACAGCGTCATCACTGTGTACACATCGGTCTGTGCCATGTGCCATGTCAGGTTCCCACCGTCACCAAAGCAATGTAACAGGAGACGTGTTCAGGTTGCATTCACAGATGGATAAAACTGTTCAAGTGTACCATGTTCCAGCCAAGAAAATAAATAAGCTGAAGATCCAGTCAAGTCTGATATTTACTGCAACTCGTAGAACTGAAATATGATGAAATAAATGGGTCATAACTGGGAAATTCCCTGACATGAGCCAGTTTCAGGTCATTAATCTGTTAAAGTGGAATCAGAAAGAAGCAGTGTGGGTTATTCATAGGCGTTTGGCTGTCAATATACTCCAGACTATCACTAAATTCACTGAGTTATGTTGGGTAAAAGTTTCAAGGCCTAACTTTCTTTTTAAATTGTTTTCCAATGTGTGAAACTCTTTTGCAATATCATAATCGGCTTCTCGAAGTTTGTAATTTCCCTATTTTCTATTTACTTATTTATGTGGGAGGACCTAAATTGTGCTCAACAGTATGGACACAAGTTTGCTCCAGAAGTTGGCGAAATGCATGTTTTCTTCCAGGTAAGCTCAGGTTTTTATCTCAGTGCATCTGCTCCAATGCACTATGTTGCATCAAGGGAAAGTAATAAGTTCACGATTCTTTTCCACTCATTTCCTGTCCAGGCCATGACAGCTTATTGTGCACTGTGGGCATAGCAATGTGAACACACGTTTTATCAAAAAGGTAGACAGGGGCAGGACAAAAGAAAAAGGATTAGACATGGAAAAAAAATCTGCACCGTGTCTGAAAATAAAGTCTGTAAGAAATAGAAAGAATTTTAGCAAAGTCCTGACACGGCATTCAATTGATGCATTATTCTCCACTTAATTCATCTCTATGCCAAGTTTTCTGATAATAGGTTTTATGGAGTCATGTTGTTTTCTGTCTCTCAAGCTGTTTGCAATTGCAGTTCTGCAAACAAAGTATCTGAAGACTTGCCTTTTAAATTGGTTTTGTTGTCAGAACACTGGTTCGTAACTTTTAGTTTAAAAGCCTTTTCATGTCTGAATGATTTATATGGAAAACAAACCAACCTTTCTTTCTATATATAGTTTGGTACTGGACATAAAATAAAACAGCCAAAGTCAAAATAAAAACTTTGAAACACCTTCAGAAAGCCCAATGAAATATATAGTTTAAGGTAAATGAGAGTGAAATACAAAATTTGAGTACCTGTTAATGGCTAGAAAAGTTAAATACAGGAGCAGAATCTCTTTTTATAACAAGAAAGTTTCTTTCTATAGCGAGAAATAGAGTCTCATATCTCACTATAATGAGATTTTAAATTCATTAAAACGAAAAATATGTTGTTCTGTAACAAAGAAAGAATGTAAAATTGCACTCCATTTCTTTTAGATGACACACAAGCATCCCTCAAAATGATTTTGGTTTTAATGAGATATAAATCCCATTCTAATGCCAACTGAAACGTGTTCTGATGAGCTTTGTATGCCGTTATGAAGATAAAGCTTTTATGTTTTAACGAGATACTGCTGTATTTATTTCCCAGCTGTAGTGATTAAATGCGTTCATAAATAAGATCACCCAGATAGTTTTTTAATGTTTTTATGTCTTTACAATTTTGACAAATGGATCTGTGTCACTAGATGTCATCGAGAAAACGGTAGATCATGAATCACAAACTTAAGTTTCCCTAGCATTCTAATCAATACCATAAAACCTGCTTCTGGTGTATTTATTTTACAGAACATTTCTGAGACGTTGCAACAGCTATATAACATACATTTTTTTAAAGACTTTTTCCACAGCTTTATCAGGAATGTCAATAAATGTGCACATCCGTTGCCGAGGTCACGCAAGCTAGACAGGTTTTAACTTGATTGCAATTTTCAGTTTAGATTAAAAAATAGACTATAAAGAAAAAATATAGATAATTTAATGTTTAATGTCTCTCCTTTTTAAAGAGAAGCACAAAAATGATGAAAGACAAAGAACTTCCGTGAAAAAAACAAAACAAAAAAAAAAAACATTTACTTGAAGGGTGTACACTTCTCTCTGGAAGACGTTCAAAGGAACAATATTCTCTGTTTTATTACTCATCGACCACTGCGGGTCTGATAGCGAGTGCTACCAGACCTCCCTTTGCGTCATCATAAACTGAAGATATGTCTCGAACTGGCTGAATTGTTTGCAGTTGAGAGTGTCAACTCATGCCGGTCGCGCCTTGCGAGTCCATTACTTTGATTGCCGTTTGACAATCTGTCTTTATGACAGGCGACTGTGGAGCTTCGGCATCAATGGGAGAGAAACACATCGATCCATCCCCTTGTGACCTCCAGCTGCTTTCAAATCTAGCCTTGCACACAGATGGACATGTTGAGTGCTCCTCGACAGAATCGGGTATTGATTGCGTGGAAGCTAATGGCAGAGTCATATTTTTCCTGTGTGCATCTGACTCAACCCTCCTGTCCCCCCTTTCTTCCCTGCTATCTGCTCTTGTGATTCATTAACCTGGCAGCAGATGCGTCTGTTTTGTTTATTTCGACTGAGCTGCCAGTGTTAGCATCCTTCATCCTCTTAACATCTATATTACCGACTACATTTCTGCTATTCCCCCTTTAATCTGATTGTTCTATCCTTTCTCAAAGTGATCAGAGTCCTGGAACTTTTTCACATTTTGTCACATTACAGCAACAAAGGTTAACGTTTTTCAATGAGAAGCTCTGCGATAAACCGAAACAAAGCAGTGCATACTACTAAAGCAGAAAAGAAAATGTTTTCCAAAGCTATCTACAGAGACATGTCTTATATTTTGTAGGGCCATCTTTTGGTGTAAGTAGTTGCAGAACTTTTGAGTAATGTTTCCACATTTGCACCTCTTCAGTGTTAATTTTTGGCCAGTCTTCTTTGGAATCCCACTGATTCCTTTCCCACTCCCTGCTAAGGGAAGGAATCCCCACTGAATGATGGTGCCGCCAACATGTTTGCAACAGGGATGATGAGTTCAGGGTAGTAATATACAGTGTTGGTTTTCTTCCACACATAGCGTTATGCATGTCAACAGGTTCAATTTTGGTCTCCTCTGATAATAGCACCTTTTTTCTGCATGTCTAATGTCTACATGGCTTTTGGCAAACTACGTTTTTTTTTCCTCCCTCAACTTTTGAAAAGAGCCAAATGTGTTAAATGCACAAGTCATGGTTTTCTAGTGAATACATTCTCCAACCTGAGCAATGGATCTATTTAGCTTCTGCATTTACAATGTCGATTTAGATTTATGGTCACGTTGACATATATTTGCACTTAAACCAAACTATTTCAGTTTTAGGGGATATATTTAATAGTTTTTTTTTTTGTAGAATGCTTAAAGTTTGGGATTTGTTTTTGTCTAAACTTGTTCATAACTCACTTCTTAACCAATTTTATGGGTTTCTTAGTGTTTGTGATTCTATTTGTTCTTTAATGTTCTACTAATCAAATCTCTGCACCACTCACAATACAGATGGCTCCAACATTAAATTACATTCAAGTGGACTCTCTTAATGCGAGACGTCTGAAGACAACTGGCTGCACTGAAGTTTATTTGAGGTATCAGAGCAAACATTGCTGAACCCAAAACTGGCAGAACATAAATACACCATTTTTTTTAAAACCATATATAATTAGCAGTACTTTGTGTTGATCTGTCAAGCAAAATCAAATCAAACCACATTGTAGTTTGTGGTTGTGATGTGACAAAAAACAGTAAATTAATTCCCGCGGTACGAAAACCAAATGATTCATTTCTTTCCCCGTTTCTCTAAATGACAAACAGCACCGGCTGATCACACAGACACAAGAATCAGTCTGATGAGGTTATTTTTGTGTTCTTTTTTTTTTATTTTGTCGTGCTTTGTTTCTTTCCCCTATAAAGAAATAGTTAGCTATATATATCAACAGTGGCACATGGACTCTAAAATAAACAGGTGTGAAAGACAAGAGAAGAGACAACTAGGCACAGGAGACAAAGAGAGAGAAATACTGGGAAAGAGAGGAAAGGTAAAGAGGAAAAAGAGTGAAAAATGACAGCAAGTTTATTTTTTCTACAGTAAACCCAAAAACAAACCATGGGAAGTGTACATTTCTTTAACATTTACAATTATAATAATAACAACGGCAATAATAATAACAGTAACAACAATCAGAATTGTTCAAATAATAGCAATAATTATTTTTANANAAAAATCAATAAGACCTGTGTTTTTTCATAAAGACAATTTTTTTTTTTCATTTTTATATTTTCTTTAAAGATCACTGGACAGTAGTTTGTTCGGTGTTGCACCTCTAAAGGCTAATATTCTGTGTTAGTATAGTTGCTTTATAATGCGTTTCAATAGTAAACAGTTTTCTTAATTCTTAAAAGTTTAATTTAACTCATGTCACTGTTCTTTTTTATACAAACAAAGAATTCAGAGATATGTATACTTGTTCTGTGGACGTGTATGTATGGATGTGTGCATGTAGCTGCATACGCCCGTGTTGTTCTCTTCTTTGCTCCTTTTTGACAGCTCCCCTCGTCTTTTTATTGGAACTTTTTAAACCTTTTTATCCGCTTAATGACATTCTAAAATAATTAAGCTTCTCTTTAATGCCTCTGCAAGTCATATTCCTTTCTTCCTCCTTGGGAACGCAGCCCGACGCTAATCCTTTCATTATTACGGGGCCAACAACAGGGGAACGGTAGAGGAGGGGGGGAAACACTGAGAAGAAGAGGGATTGAAAGAGAGAGAGGAGAGCATGGTAACAGGTGTACGGAGATGATGTTGAGAGTCACCTTTTTATTTCACTCTTGAACTGAAAGGAGGGGGGACCACTTTAAGTTTTCTTTTAAAAACTAGCGAAACAACAAGACATTCAGCTTATTGCCACAGTCCAGATACTTCTCGCAGCTTTGGTAGGGAATTATGGACAAGCTGTGCTCCGTCGATGAGACACGACCGTAATATGAAAAATCTCTGTAATTTACCATCGAGCACAAAGTAGCTTCTGCTCAAGTTTCCCCTCCACCACCTCCTCTCTGCGCAGCTCTCCTGCTGTCCCCTTCGGTTAGAGATTGGGCTTTGTGAAATAGATTCTTCTATTCTCCAGGCGGTGAATTACAGCAGTCATCTGCCTCTAATTCCCCTTCCACTTTGGCGGCTGCACAGGCGAGGCAGAGAGGGGCCACTTTTCATTGTGTGGCCCTCTTCCTTCTTGATCTAAATAATTATGGGATCATTTCGCTTTTGCCTACATTCACTTCACTCTGTCGCCGCTCCTTCGCTCCCTCCAGCAGTCCGGGACTTACAGTACTGCATATGGCACAGTCGTTGATGTCTGGTGGGGCCAAGAGGCTCTCCGTCTCTCGGTCTGTCTCTTGGGTTATGCGAGTGTATATGGAGGAGATGGAGTGGAATGGAGTGTGATGGATTGGCTATGTGCAGTACAGTCGCTTTCAGAAGGCTGCCTGTTATGGCGAATTGTGTCAGAGTGTTTGCGTGTGTGCGTGTGTGTGTGTATTTATATATATATATATATATACTGTATATAAGGTTGGAGGCAGGGAGAGGGAGGGGTAGGGGTATGAGGTCAGAAGAGAAGGGATTAACAAAACGAAGGGCTACAGTAGGTACTCCTTCTTGCCCTGGCTGGCGTCGTTCCCGTTGAGAAAGGCCTCCTGCACCTCGCCGTGTTCGTCCAAGCCGCTGGCCTCATGGGTGAGATAGGAGCCTGGATGGGAAGAGCGAGAGAACAGAGGGAGAGAGACAGAGAGAAGAGGGAGATTGTAGGGGGGTGGTTAGGTGGCAAAGCGTCATGATCGTTGCAGCGCCATGCAGCGTTTTCACACCAATCAGCGCTCATATTACCGTGCTCCATACCTACAACTGATTAATCCATTAGTTTACTGATTGTTAGGTCAATACCAGGCAAGGATAGGCTCTCGTGTACGGTATGAGCCTTACGGGGCAGAAAATTAGAGGTGGCGGATGGACGCATGGAGTCAGAGGAGAAGGAGGTAATAGAAAAAAAGAGAATTATAGACAGAGTAAAAGAAGGAGAGGGAGAGAAGAAAAAAATTGGTAGAAAAGGATGGAGGTAATGTTAAGTGCAGGAGAACAAAATTTTTGCTTGCATCAGCCACAAAACTATTCCAACTTATTTTAAAAACCATAACCCGGGGGGTTTGTTTGGGGCGCCGTTTTTCACAAAACACATTTTAATCTGGTTGCAGGACATATGAAGATGGATATGATTCTGCTGCGGTTGCACCTCCTGTCTACATGCATAATATTAATAAAATAACTACATAATAACAGCTGTTCTCCTCTGACTTATGTTGTTCAGTTCCGGCATGCTCCACTGCGAGCACACCTTTAGACTCAACACCTTCAAACACAGTAAGGGTCATAACACCTGTTCATGATTGTAAGTCAACAAGTTCTGATTTAAAGTCAAAGCTTTTCAAAACAGAGTATTTATTTCTTGGCAAAGCTACCGGTTAAAAATGACTAACAAGAACAATTTGATTTGGAAAAAATAAAAAATAAATAAAACTGTTTTCAAGGGTTTACGAGAAGGCCGAATAACCTGCTTTAAATTCAGGGTTACATCAAGGGCTTTCTGATTTGGTCAAAATGTAATAATGGCCAGAACTGCAGCACATGAAGTGATATAAACACCAAAAATAAAATAAAAGATTGATGACATGAATTAAATTTAAGATATAGCTGAAGACAATTTAAGTCTCTTTAGGAAAGTTAGGCTCATTTGTAAAAGGCTTTAAGTTGAATATGACCATGCAGACATCAGTACATCACCTTATTAACAAAAAAAAAAAACAGTTTTAGAAAGCTTTTACAACTATCCATAATTAACAAATTATATAAATAAATCATATAATAAATTAAATAGAGTTCCATCTATGAAAATGGATAGGATAGGAAGCTCTTTCCATCAAGAGATAGGTTCAAGCTCAAGCAAGTAATAGGAAAAGAAAGTATTTTTATTATTTGTCTAATCTAATGTGATTGGCTCAAGCCAATCAAAGTCAAAATGAGCCTGATTTTGTAGCATAAGGTCCAAAAATCAACTGCGCTAAGATGAAAAGAAGAATCTGATGTGTTTAAAGGGCTCAGAGAATCTGTGTCCCCGTTTCTTCTTTTAACTTAAAAAAATACTGTTGAGTAGTTCTCAAAATCAGGTTAAACCCGTTCTTTAATCTCTAGAGAGGGAGGAGGAACTTTGACCTGTTCAACTTTAAAAACTTTCACACTCAAGAGATGTGTCTCTTTTAGGGTTAAATGATATGTTTGATGTTTTATTTCTCTGTTGACTAATCATTACAGATTAGTGTGATTACTATAATAAGTTAACTCCAAATTATATTAGTGAAAAAGCTCCAATAATCATTCAATTTAATCCAAGAGTTAATATTATTGGTTCTTATAGAAGTTATAGTTTTTTTTTTTCTGCATATACAAAACCTTTTCACTGGACTTCAGCCAAGGGATGTTTCTGCAGTAGTGGCTATGCTAGAAAAGAGAACAAAGCCCATGAAGCGTCTCTCATGTGTTTAACTTTTAAGAATAAAAGATGCCCAACTCTTGATTTGATTTGTTTTGATTCAGGCCTTCTTTTGTTCCACAATGCCGAATTACTGTTCAAATAAATACTCAACTTTTTCTGTTTTTGGTGAGCAAGAATTACAAATACTATTTCTACTTGCTAAATGCCAGAATAATGACAGAGACCTTTTTAATGGAGTTATTTAAAGTAGCCAGTTCAACTTCACTCAGATTACTATATAAACAAATTAGAAAGGCTCAGATGATGACACATGGTGACATTTGTCTATTCAAACATGTATACCCAGAGGATAAACCCCATGGGAAAGTCCACTCATCATCCCACCGAGGACAGAGATGGGGTCTGGTGAAATGTGTGCATATCAAATCTAGAACAAAAGCAGAAGACTGTATGAAGATGCTGTCTGAAGAGAGCGTTCAGAGGGTTATCGACAATGACGTAAGTCCTGGATGGACAGGCACTGGAAAGATACTTAGAGCGGAAGAAATCATAATCCAAAAGCAACATAAAAATCCAGACTGCAGTTTGGAAATGCCCCCGGTAACAGAGAACACTATGAGGAAGAATGCTAAAGAATGAGTGCAAATGGGTCTTCTACATGGATCATGGCCACAAGCATGCAGACAAATTAATTACAAACTGCTTAAGGATGACAAATTAAATGTTTTGGAGCGCAATCATAAAGCCCTGATTTCAGTTCCATGGAAAATGTGTTGCAGGGTAGCCTACAAATCTGCCTCTGTTACGTCAATTCAGTCAGGAGGAATGAGCCAAATGTTCCAGAAAGCTACTGTGGATCCATGGTGGAAGGACATACAGAACATTTCACACAAGCTGCACAGTTTAAAAGGCAATTCCAGCAAATACTAAGGACAAGTACTGTATGTACTTTCTTTATATTCTTCTGAGAACGAGAAAGGTTTTCAGAATCCAAAAAAGAAAATTATTATTCTGGCATTCAGCGAACAGAAAAGTAAGCTGCATGTTTTCTAACATCAGGTCTCAACTGAGTATCTGCTACAAGGAAATTCCTAGACAGTGATTGAGGTTGGAACGGACCTTTCACTGCATCTTCTCCAACAACGCTGTACTCCGCTACCTGGTTTCAACTGAATAAGCAGCTACATGTAACTCAGAGAGGGGCTTGTCTTTGCAAGTTGATGAGGAACTGTTGTGAGAGAAAGGCTGGTGTAATACAGAAGCAACACCAGCAGAAGTTATCTCACAGCTGAAGAGTCCTTTCAGTCACAAAGTGAGTGGCACTCTATTTCTCCTCACCATAGAGGTTGACTGACACGTTGACAGTTACAATGGACCAAAGACAAAGCTCTAATGGCCTCTGTCTCAACACTGATTGGTCGTAACAGTGCTGTCTCTCTGCTGATTGGCGGTCAAGTCATGGTGGATGTTGACAGACAGCTTGTCTGGCCATTGGGGGAGTTATCCTGTTTGCAGCTAGCCGCACTACTCCTAAATTATTTATTGGCAGCTGCTGAACATAGTGTAACACTTCCAATAATGGGGGCACTTATAAAGATAGGAAACAGTGGGAGGCTTCCTCTCAGTCTTGATGCACTAACATACAGTCATAAAACATCTACGAAACGCCTGTCTTTCCTGTCCCACCCTTTCTCTTTGGCTTCTCGGGTCAACATCATTTATTATGGACAGCGCTTTGCCAGAGAGGAGCATCCAATCCATCCTGGTTTCTGTTGACAATTTTAACACGTTAGTTTAAATGATTGTTCACACAGACTCTAGATGTACCCAACTACTAATAAACTTTTAATAGGAAGTTTACCAGAAGCTACAGCTGTGAGGAACCTTGCCAGTAGTAAAAGAATACCGTGTTATATTAGTGTTGTGCATTCGAGAATATGCTCTACCTTTCTGCCGGACAGAGCACCAGATGGTGACAATGAGGACACAGATGACGGTGAAAACCAGAAGGGCCAGAACGCCACCTATCACTGCATACGGTACTGCGCTGTGAGTCTCAACCACTGCGCCAGGGTCTGAAAAAGAACAGAGCAAAAGGGGAAAAAAAAGAGAGAAAAACTGTGCATCAGTTCAGCGTTGGGTAATTTAATAGGGACATATGCAGATAAATGGAAGAAACAGAGGACTCCAGGCAAAGAAACTGAGACAAAGAAATAGATGGATCAAAATGAAAGCAGGACATAAAGGGGAGGACAAAGAAAGCCCGTTAAAACGTTAGCATGGGAGGGGGTACCAGGAGCAAGACGTGAGAAAAGAAAATTCGATATCTCCCACCCAACTTGCATTATCACCCTTCATCACCCCCCACTGCACAGAATGCCAGACAATCTGAATGAGTGAGAAAAAGGAAAAATGAGAAGAGTGAATAAAGAAATAAGGTAGTCAGCCTCTACAAAGACCACTTCTTCCAAGCACCTGTCAGGAGAACAATGCAGTTTGAGTGATGGAAACCGAAGCCTCGGGAAAGAACTCTAATTCCACACTGATCGACATCAGTCAGTTTATTTTTCGTCTCATCATTACATCAGTGTATGATTTATGTGATTTCTTTATTGTGCAGATCAGGCAGTTATCTGGCCTGGTTGGGGAAACTAAGCAAAATAATGTGGTTGATTAATCACAACATAGCAATTTAGGTAAAGATACTCACACACAGGTTGGTTTGGATGTTTTCAGTAACTGTCTCTTGATTTTGAACATTCATTTTGAATTCATATTATGTTCAAATCACACATTTTGTCTTCAGCCAGAAGCAAACCAGCTGGATTCAGACACAAAAGAGAATAAGCAAAATCTTGCATATGTTCTTTCACTTCCTGTAGGTTCCCTGCATTATTTGCAATAAGCTCCATTTTTGATGGGTTAAAATCAATCAGGACACCAGAGTTAACCTTATAGACTGGGAAGAGGCTTTTCACTCATCTCTATGGAAAGGATAACAGGTAAGAACTTGCAGTTAATGGGCTGTAACATTCAATTAGTCCTCTGAAGGAAAGTCGAGCCCTGAGATATTGGGATGATCAGGACTCGTTAGCTAAATAAGGAACCTGCAACTAAATTGTTAGTTTCGCTTAATATACTTGTGTGGACTGCACAGCTTCAACAACAATGACTGTGTGGCAACAACAAAAGCAGCATTGATAAAGAAAAAAAAAAAAGAAGCTTAAGAGATGAAATATACATGTCCGTGGAGTCCGGACAGCTGAGGCGCTGACAATAACAAAAACCTTTTGATGTGTTGGTGGGGAGCCCAACAGAAGGCAAGGCAGTTATTGATTCAGGATCCTTAGACTTCCATTGGACAGAATTAAAACATGAATCATTAATAAAGTGCTAACACGCAGATCAAAAGGAGAAGAAGAGATTGATGGAGGAGAAGCAGGAGAAAAAATGAAGAAAAGAAAGCTCATTCTTGTATATGTATTCCTTGGGCTCTCCCAAGGCGCTTTAATAAACTGATTAAGTGCATGATCACGTATTGACAGATGCGTGTATTATCAAAATGAATGCATCTGCAGCAACATGACGCATGGGATTCAAATGCATTAAGACAGAGCAGTTGGCCAAAGCAATATTTCACAGGAGCAGAAAGAACCAAGCACTAAAGTGCACCTCATTCCCCCCATGCCATCCTGTTCTTAATCTGCTGCAGCCCAGAGCTCCACAGGAAATGACTGACGTTATTTAAAATTGTGCTGTTTCTCCGAGGAGCCCCATGGAAGATGCACCAACGTTGACTAAACATCCGCCAAAGTGTTCTTTCTTTACAGCTTTTCTTAAGACGTTTTTTTTTTTTTTTTTTACTGCATCTCCTCGCATGCCGCAGGTGAACATCCTCCACCTGCCACAGAAGATGGCAGAGGCAAAAAGAGAGAACAAGAGGGTTGCTCCTGCTCCCTGTGCCTCGTCTCTCCTTTTAAGCAACAGAGCAGACAGATAAGCTGAAGATGTGGAAAAAAAAAAAAAGAAAGAAGAGATTACAGCGAGCATGTCTTTGTGGAAGAGCATTTATGAGATAAGTAGATTCTTTTAGATGGAAAGAATTGAAAACCGGTGGAGATTTTTAAGTTATGCATTCAGGAGAAAAAAGTAATGGCAGGGTGGGTTTCTTAGACCTGCTGTGTTGCACTTTTCTAGCAAAATGTGATCAAAAACACCACCTGGATCCCCACTTTCACACCCCTGCTTTGCACTCCACACGTTTGTGTGTGTTTATGCGTGTACGTGCGTGTGTGCAGATAAATATATTGCTCTAGTCCTCTGGAGGCCTACATCAGTCTCTAAGCTCTTCACGCAGATTCATTAACAGTACCCACCAAGCGGCAGAAAAACCAGCCGAACATCACAGACTCGCAAACACAAACGCTGACTGGGCGATGTGTTTGTTAGCAGGGAGGCTTCAAACAGCCGGCGATAAGAAACCAGAGAAGGTGATCGCTCCGCGTGGCGCATATCTGAGCTTACAGAGGCACATATACTAATGCAAATAGAGGGTCGAGGAAGGTCGAGGCATAAAAAAAAAAAAAATGTGTGCGTGTGTGGAGGCAGATGCAAGTGTGGGAAGAGGCCACCGGAGAGCGGCGGAATTGGTGGCGAGGAGGGCGGCACCAGAAGCTGAGCAGGAGACGACAAAGAGAGAGACGGAGGGCAAGAGAAGCTGTAACCTGCAAGAGACGGGTCACGAGAATAATGGAGGAGGCTGGAGCGACAACAGTTTTATCCCTACTTCTTTATTTTTTTGCCATTTTAATCTGCATGCAGAGAGCAGTGTTACGCATGTCTCCATTATCACTGAAAATACTTTGTTAATAAGAAATGACTTTGGACTTTCAAGGAGTCTGTTTGGTAAAATTGATTTATACTTTCATTCTCCCCACCACGGAGCAGTAATGGCAACAATATACGCGCTCACACATGGAGTGTTAAATGTGCCAGCAAACAAATTACACCATGAATTCAGTTAATTAGACTTCGAGTGAGCGAATTTCAAAATTAAAAGCACAGTGCCAAGATGGTCACAGCTAACAGAATTATGTGAGCGATGAATTGGAGGAAGTAATTTTAGCTAAGTAGCCACAACCAGATTTTTAAAATGAAACAGTTTGCTCTTGAAAACACAAGAATTGAAGAACTGCAAATTCTTGAAGTATAAACTGGAGTACTGAATGGATATTTCAGCATAGAAGAAGGCAATGTTTTTGAATCATATTTGTTTTCAAACATTGATTTTCTGTTGGTGATGTTAAATCCCTAAACATCTTAGCCTTTTTGCTGAAAAACTTTGCAGTGCCTAGCCAAAATTTTCAAGCCGCTTTAACTTTTTCACTATTCCAACACAAAGTCGTGCATAATTTGGAAGTGTAGGGAAAAATGATAAATGCCTTTCAATATTTTTATGGGTACAATTCTATAAGTTGTGTCATGCATTTGTTTTCAGCCAATACCCTTTGCAGTAACAGAAACAAGACTTTTGGAATGTTTACCAGGTTTCCACAATTGATGTATTCTTTTCTTAATAACTCAAGCTCTGTCAGATTAATGGATGGCCTTTTCAAATGCTCATTGGAGATCATTTGAACAAACATCTTTACAGGACAGTCGTATCCATATTGTAATTAAATGAAACACAGCAAATAAATTATTTACGGTTGTCAGAGAAAAAGGAGCTTAACATAAATGCCTGATATAATTTACATATTTTATGTAAACAAAAAAAAATAATAATAATTTTCCTTGCACTTGACAATTACGCAGTACTTTCTGTTTGTCTATTATATAAAATTCCACTAAAATGCTTACGCTTTTTTGGAACTAAGGTATGACTACTTTTCAAAGGAATTATAAGTTCGATAAATCAATTTGGTTCGTCACAATCTTTCATTAATTAAGGAGCTAAACCAGGGCATTACATATTACATTGCAATATATACATGCTATTTAAGCTTTGCATCATTATTAAGTTTTTGTTGATTAAAAAAAAAAAAAAAACATCACATTAATAAATGAATTTGATCTTCTTGCAGGTTACAGCATTCTCTTTGCAGTCTTGCTTTGAGGGCAACAGAGGTGGGAGGAGAAAGTGTGTGTGCAAGGTTTACCTTCTGGGTCCAGAAAGCTGCTAGTAGGGGTGCTAGTAGGTTGGATGGGTGAAGTGGTAGGGGCCATGGTAGTGACTGACACATTTTCTACAGACAGACAGGGAATGGAATGGCACAGACACACACAAACACTATTATCTACGGCATGCAGGGAAACTACAAAACACAGACATAGGTTCTACATTTGCACAGCACATAATACATGGCAGGCGATTTGCTGAATGTAAATATTAATTTAGTTAATGGGTGATATTCTGTCAGTTTTGGGAGACAGACAAAATTACAGATGAACAAGCAACATCAGAGACATGTACAGAATATAAAGCAGATACCCAAAACCTGAACATCTTTTATGCAATGTTTTTTTTTTTTTTTTCCCCCCCAGTAAAACCCAAATGAAACCGTTGCGATAAGTGGTCAAAACCTTAAAAACCTTGTTGATAAACCTTGTGATCGATTTCAGTATTCAGCTTTCGTATGAATCTTATTAACATGCCAAATATTGTCCGGGCATATTTGCCCACTCTGCTTTGAAAAAATGTGTAAAAATCAATCAAATTGTGAGGACAGCCTCTTGGACCAGCTCCTCTCCTGTCTCATCAATTTGGAAAAAAAAAAACATCCAGTTTTTGTAATGCGGCTGCTGTCTCATATTATCTCCAATTATTTATGACTGGCTTCGCTGTACCATGATAAATAAATAATTCTGGGCATTTTTGTGCCCTTCTCTTGACTGGTAGCTGTGTACAGTTAGCTCGTTTTCATCTTTAACCTTTTTAACCTCTCTGAAAAGCTTTGTTAAATGATGCAAATGAGTAATTGTCAGGAAAGTCCTCATGGGGCAGCAAAACATTACTTCAGGATAATTAGATTTACTGTAATTGATCGCAGGTCTGATCTCAGGAGGACTGAATAAAAGTTTTGGAATGATTTATAAGGGTCTTGTTTTTTCTTCTTGCACCACAAGAACTTGGTGATTTACCAGGGGCATGTACACCTTTGACTTTCACTCTATAACTAATAAAGTCACTCTAAAATAAGATTATGAATTGCAAAGAAGTTTTCTTCTTCGTTTCCCAAGCTGCAACAAAACAAAGTTTGCTGTATTTCAGGGAAGAAATAATCTTTTTACAGCTTTGCAGGGCAGTCAAGTGGAACCCCCTTTGAAAATGTGTCAGCTCTGCCTTTTCAACATTTTGGATCATAAAAGAGAGGTGTTTTAAATATTTCAGAATTTTCATTCACTTTGAAATAAATCACAGCTACAGAGATCTAACCTCAGTAAGCACGATGGCGCTATTACCATGTTTCAATGTATGCATGTTCTTTTGATGATGTGCCATGTTGTGTCAAACAAAGAGAGTTTTGGTCCAAAATAACAAGCTTTGTTACTTCACACCATTCAGCAGATATATATGGGGAATACACCAGATCGATTTCTGTCAGCCTTTACTCACTCTGAGTATTTTCCATGCCCTTTTGTCAAATCAGGGCCTTTTCCAGTTCTTGTAAAGCCACCATTATCCCACTTCCTCCAATTAATGAGATACAATCACGTGAATTTACAAAGTGATGCAAAACAGTAATATTCTTAAATGTGATTAATCCCTTCAACTATCTGAATAGGTTTAAAGCAGAAGTTTACAATAGAAAAGACACGCTTTAAAAGGTTGATCAAAGTCTACCTGGCAGACTGGGATTCATCTTCAAGTCCATTGGAATAAATCAGGAATTAATTTGTGACCAATGACACATTTTCCAAGCTTCGGTGGAAGCAGTGAAAGTCTGACAGATGCACACTCGTTGGAGCAGCGCCATGCGGGGGAACTGTCTCATTTGATGCTGAACAATAGATTGGATCCTGACACCATCCTCCAAATCAATGGCGAAAACACAATGGCAAATGGAGAGGTAGAAAGAGACAAGTTCACATTGCTGTTAAACGAAAAATAATGGCTGACAAGAAGTACGAGGGAAATGAATAGGTAGGTGAGTGTGTGCGTGTGTGTGTGTGTGTGTTCGTGTTTATGAGTGCACCGTCCTCGGCACTTTTGAAGTCAGAAAAATCTGTCTTCATCAAAGTAACTTGAAAACTAACTGCAACGTGCGAAGCAGAGCTTGTTTTCAAAGGTTTTGGCTCTCACACATGCACGGTCATTCATGCTAGGTGAGCACATATGCATACACAACAATGCGTCATTGCTCCCCCTTCGCCCCCCCAACATACACACACAGAGATGATGCCCTTTCTGCTCAGAAGTAATTTATTGGTAAGTATTCCTCTGTCTCTTCTCCCTATTTCTCCCACTGGCCCTGAGATCATCAATCTCTTTTTGCACTCTTCTTATGTCAGCACTATACTTCCCTGCCTCCTGCTTTGTTTTTTCTCCTTACTTCAAGGCTAGCCTGTGTCTTTCTCCCTTTGAAATAAGTGTGTGATGCATTCTATAAAAAGACGAAGCAAAAGGGCGTAGGAAAAAAACATCTATTTAAAGAGAAATTACCAAACTCCATCCACAGAGCTGTGGAAAAGTCTGGCTTTTTTTTCCCTTTTTTGTCAAACTACATTATGTTTTGTATTACCAAAACGTATTAACAAAATAGCATAACCCGAGTAAACACAGAAAGCAGTTTTTAAATGAATGAATTGAGCAAAAACACTCAATTCAGCAGTAAAATAATGAAAGGCAAACCGGGAAGTTCACCTTTGAGTGGCTCCAAAAGGAAGAAAATATATGCAATTAAGGTTTTGGAGTGATCTAGTAGTTGTTTACTTAAATCCGAATGAAACAGCAGCATGAGCTTAAACACAATGTTTATGGTTGAACATCCTCCAATCTGGCTGAATTAAAACAAAACTTATGGCTAATTAAAATTCTTGATGTTGCAAAGGGAGGAACAAGTAATTATCATGTGTGGGTGTCTTTACTTTTTCCCATAGGCTCATGTTTGCTTGAATACCTTTTTTTTACCTTCATAAAGTATAATTCAAGCTCCCTTTTTAAATTTAAGTAACATTTGTATTGTATAAAAATTTGTTTTAAAATTTAAAATGTTTAAAAAAAAAAAAAAGAAAAAAAAAAAAGCAAAAACAGAGGAAATCTCTGAAGAAGCCAAAGCTTTTTATGGCACCGTAAGCCTCAATGTGGAGCCAAAGTGCTCCATGTTTCTGTGTGCCTTGAGCCTTTGGGATGAATATTATAATAGCTGGGATCGCTGCTCTAATTAACTGCAAAATGATTAATGTCTTACCTTAATTTGCTCACTTTGTTTAACTTTTTCTTATGTTTCTAGAATCTAATACTTCCTCTTTGTTCTTTCCAATCAGCCGTAACCTAGCCCCTCATTTGCACCCCATGCTTTCGCTAGACTTCATTTGGCCGCCTCAGCTGGCTTCTCTAGTTTCTTTCCTCCGTGGCTACATTCCCTCGCCGCCGCTCTTCAGCTTAATTAAGGAGAATGCCGTACAGCTGTCGTTCTCTTGGCCGATAGCATCCCTTTTTTTCCCCCCTCCACATCATATTGTTATTCATTAACACTATACGCCTGCCAATCAGACACACAGCCCACGTTATTTCCAGGGATGGGTGAGGCAGCACTTGCGATAATGACGTTGCTGCTTGTATCTCATTCTTGCAGTGGTGCGCCTGAGGAGACTGCATCACCAGCATGGATTCTTTCATGTTCAGCTTTCATGATTATAAGGGCCTTGCCCGGAGCGGTTTATGTCTATCCAGTTGTCTATCAGTGAGCTGAGTGTTAGATATTGGTGGAAGGTCCATGGCTGAGGGCAAGGAGGCCAACGCTGTTCAACTGAAGGCTCATTCAAAATTTACTGTGCCGTCAGGTGCATAGTCATAGTGTGGATGGAGGCAGAGCTGGAGACAAACCCGTCTCTGAGTTATCTCGGAGTCTGGCTCCGTCTGTCACTAGCCTCCAACCTTTTTGGTCTCTCCTCTCATTCTGTGCACTTTTAAAAGTCTCGCTTCATTAAATGTAGGTCTGTGTTTTTTTTTTTTATATTCCGACCATCTTGACAGCTCATTACAACTGTCAAGAAGACACCGACTAATCCCTGTTCACCTCTCTATCAACGCTACCTGTCCTTTTCATCTTCCTGTCATCCCATTCTGTTTTCAAAGAATCTTAGAAGAAAATTATTAGTCCTCCAGTTCTCTCCGTTCCCGTCTCCCCGCTGGTTTTCAGATGTCTATCCATGTATGTAAGCGTACTTTTTATGTAAAAGATTCCTATCGTTCTCTCTCAGTCTGTCTTCTTGCATTTCTCCATTGGTCTGCAATTCAATCCTAATTGGTTTTACTGGCTTGGCAATTCATCTCAGGGCTGCAGCTCAGTTAAATTACGTAAGGCGGCCCAGTGGACCTTAGCAGGATTGTGGACTTTTATCTACAGCGTTCTGCAAAAAAGTAATACGTCTTGGACTTTTTCACCTCATGTCATATTACAACCACAAACTTCAATATATTTTATCGGGACTTCATGGGCTAGACCAACACAAAGTAATACATAAAGTGGAAGAAAATTGAAATGTGCTTACGAGTAAAAATCTGAAAAACTTGCAGTATGTTTGAATTCAGTCCAATTTCTTCTTATTCCCCTGAATAAAATTCAGCCTAACCAGATGATCTCTAAACTTTTTGAGAACACCAGTGAACAAACGAGACATGCCAGGACTAAAGATGTGGAGCATTTTCAAACAGGGTAAAATAACAAAATCCAAAGATTTGGGCATCTCACCAAGAGCCGTTCATATTCTGATAATGTAAACAAGTTTGGCAACAGCTGCAAAGGTACCAGGACAAGACTGTACGCTGACAGGCCAGAGTAGGAGAAGATTAATCAAAGAAGCAGCCAAGATAACGCCGGCCAGGGTGCACAGCTCAGATGGAAGAATCTGTTGTCAGTTTGGCACAAGCAAAGTAGGGGACAGAACAACATGTGCAAGGAAAAAAACAACGAGTTTTTGGCCTATTGTGCAAATCCCCTCCTGAGAGAAATACCAACACCGTAAACACACCTCCTCCAAGGGGCAGCATCGTGCTGTGGGGACGCTTTTCATCAGCAGG